TAACTCGTAATTCACACGTTCAGCATATAATATAATACAATATCACAATACATGAAATCAAAATGAGATGGAGTTCGAGCCTAGGTACCGTTCTCGGGAAACGATCGAAAATCCGGACAAGAGGAACGAACGGGGCTTGACGGGACCACGGGCTCGACGGCTACACTCGTCTCGCCGGAAATAAAGGACAATAGCGGCTGAACAACAAGGGCCCGAGATAGTACACTCACGATCACGGAACCCTGGAACAGCACCGGGATGAACGCTCGTCGGGATAGCAACGGGAACGGGGCTACTACTCGCGAACCGGGACCGACGAGTGGCAACGGCGGTCTGGTGCAATGGAAGGCTACTCGTGAGGAGGATGTGCGACTGAGGAATTCTCCTGGAAGCGCAAGGTCTCGCTGGACTGGTTCGGCACTCTGACGGAACACAGCGGGACTCAACGGCTACGTCCGGCACTCCGACGGGACTCGACGGGTCCCGACGGCTGAGAATGGATGTTGACGGAGGAGGGCTTGCCGTTGGCGGCGTGACGCGGAGAAGGGAGCGGCGGTGGTGCACGCGACGGTAGTAATGGAGGTCTGCAAGTCCTCGGTGCTCGCGAGTCTCTGGCCTAGGGCGACGCGATCGAAGGTGGTGATGGCTGGCTACATCGAACGATGATGATGGTGAGGAGCTCGCGACAGTAGGGGCAGCGATCAGATATGACGAGATACAGTCTGCTAGGGTCTCGCGATGGTGATGAGAAAGTTAGGTTAATCAGCGATTTGATTTTTGGGCAATGGGACGTGTAGCGATGGTGGCGCGCGATTGGCTTTGAAATTCTGATCGCGGTTTGCGCGTTATGTGGTGAAGAAGATGACGAGAATTGTCCTATCTCGGTTCTGCTCCTATTCTTATGCGATTGACCGAGAATGTACTAAAGGTTTATGGAAGAGTCCTCACTTGAAGAGAGAGAGATGGAGATTAATGGAAAAAGGACTCTTTTGCCTTAATTAAATAGGGCATGATGGAAATAGGTTTTGAGGGGATTATTTCTTTCGAAAAAAAATATCTTCTAACCAAAATGGGATTTAAGAAAAATAGCCTTGGTGAACAAGAAAGCCCTAGTGAGCCGCTGAAATAGAATAAGTCACCGTTCGGGTCGGTTTGATCGCTCGGTTCCGATAAAGTAAATAACGGAATAATATATAATATATATACATTTAATACACACGATAATATTTATTTAGCAATTATAAACATTTAAACAATTAATAACATTAGACCAATAATAATAATAATAATAATAATAATAATAATAATAATAATAATAATAATAATAATAATAATAATAATAATAATAATAATAATAATAATAATAATAATAATAACAATTAATAATATTAGACAATCACCAATAATAAAATAAATTAGCAATAATAAATATAATAAATAATTCAAATTAATTCTCCAATAAACGGGGCGTTACAGTCTACCCACCTTACAAAGAATTTCGTCCTCGAAATTCGAAAACACACAACTAGAAGGGAAGAGAGTACAAAAGGGGAACATCAAAATATGAGGGTCGGGTACTCCCTCCGAACCTCGGTCTCCCTCTGCCAAGTCATCTCGCCCTCGACTTGAGTACAACCACTAGACTTTGACAAGTACCCCTCCCGGTCTTTCCCTGATGGACCCTCGGTCCCAACAGGTCACCGGTACCTTTATACAGGTAGGGTTCTGCCTATCACGCAGCTCGTCACAATTCACACATACCTCGAGATCACGCATACATTCCCTCTATCACGAGGCTAGAATGTTTCATGCATCCTCGCAAGTCCCTGTTGTGGAGTCAACCATTAGATTAAGTCATCGACTTGGTCGACAAATCATAACAGGATTGACAAACATCAACATCACTAGTCCTTATTACCGGTACCTTCAGAATGCACAATTCTATTTGATACCGTTGACAACGCCTCACTCCTTGCCGACACAAGTAACATCTCGTATGCGGTTTAGGAAGTAACGACTAGATACTCGATAACAATTTTCTTCCACAGAAGTCTCTAGTCGAGACTCAAGGCTCCACCACACATTAATACGGAACTACTATCTCGCCCTGTCGAGAAAATCTCGCATGTGGCAAAGGAAACTAATTGACCAACCCTATACATCGAGGGTTGTTGATTAGAGAATTCACACAACGACTCAAAAGATCAACATACACTTTGACCAAAATCTGGTTCAAAGACCCCTAAAAGGACAAGGTCAGACTGGGTTTAATGCACTGTCACCCGAGAGGTGACACACACGCTGGCGCTGCATATGCGGGGCGCTGGGACGCGTGCATGTACCCACTCAGATACCAGCTACAAGGTCAAGGTTTGGCCGTACACACTGACCTGGGGAGTTCGTGCGTTCGGTGACGGCGGCGGCAGCTCTCGTGCGAGTCAACGATCGGCCACTACAGTTGGCCTCACGTCTCTCAGTACGGGCGTGCGGGCTCGGCCACCACTTCGCGTGGCTACACCCAGTCAAGTTCGACATTCGGTTCGAGGCACATACCAGAAATTTAAATTTTTGGATTTTATAATTTCTTAAGTACTCCGACAAGACAAAGGGTTTGACAACAACAATTTCCCCAAAAGGGATCGAACATTGGCATCACTGCCAGGAATAATCCTAACTTGGCGGTCAACGCCGATCAATAGAATGGTTAGCTCATTTGACTCTTCCAACCAACAATGTCGGTCGTCACGACAGTTTTTTCTCCAGCAGCTAATCGTGCCAGTAGTCCTGAACGAGTTCATCCCCATACACAGCCTATAGCTTTCACACTTCGAGGTCTAGCGTAAAGCTTCTCTCGCAAGTGTTTCCAGCTAACATTATAATACTAATCAGATTAAGTCACATAGGGCACATATACATGAAAATTTACGAAAAGCTAATTTTGAAATTCACAACTCAATTTGGAAACCTAAACATGAACTTGCACCAATTTCCAGCATGCGTGATGAATTTAAAATGCATGTAGCTTTCAGTCTACATATCGTATCATGATTAAACCACTTGAAAAATGTCCCTAACTCAGGTCTCAATCAC